AAAGAATGCAAGAGGCACGGTGCACTTTTATCACAGAAAGTAGATACGTATTTCACTAATTTCTCTCTAGGCCGTAGTTCCTCTTGAATATTCACAGTATTCTGTCTATCGGACTCGCTGAAATCCTTCTGGAAGGCAGCCGTTCCATTTGAGAACACCTATCAAGAGACTCGGTCGAGTCTCGCGCCAAGTACAGGCAACCGGCTGTACAGGGCACAGCTCGCAGAGACTCTTTACTTGAGTCAACTCTTATCCCTGTGTTTGGAACAAAATATCGTATTAACCGCTATACATGAGAAAAAATTATTGATACATTCACTATAGGAGTTGAGGGTTCTGAATTGATTGCCATCACGTTCAATACGATTAGTGTACGAGATCAGGGCGTATTGAGATGGCGAGCGAGATGATTTTATTTCAGTTCCGTCGTCGTCGTCGTCGTCTTCGCACGTCCATCTACTTCTTTACACGACAGATGGCGCTGACTACTTTGCCTTCTTTACCTATTTGTACTCTGGATGGTGTTGGTAATTTACGAATACCCAACCCAATCAAATACACTTTGTACGTGAAGCTACCGTTCACACCGAATTTCCAGTTAATATAAGGCTGCTTTCACAATAGTACAGAATTATTAAAACTTTCATGTGGAGCGCGTGTGTATTCGGGTACGTATGTGTGTGCGTGGACATAGTTCCTCGTATTTTAGGTGACAATTTTTAGAGATATAGGAATTCCAGATGTTCCTCTTCGTAGTTTCCTGTATCTAGGTGTCGGATGTAAAAGTCCAGGGTTTCCAGGTATTCCTCTCCGTAGTTCCCTGTGTCCAGGTGTTGGATGTGGAAGTCCAGGGTGTTCAAGCATTCCGCTCTGTAGTTTCCTGCATCTAGGTGTGAGGCGTGGAAGTCCAGGGTGTCCAGGTGTTGCGCTCTGTAGTTTCTTGTATCTAGGTGTCGGACGTACAAGTCTAGAGTGTCCAGAAAAGTGTGCAACGAGCGACGCTTTGGCGCTTCGCTCAAACTATACTATCCTCTCTGTTTTTCGCACGGGCTGAGGTACGTAAATAATCCAGCACACTCTCCTCTCTTACGTTTACCACACGGCTTCAACAAGCTGGATACCATTAACGACGCTTATATGCATTGAAGATAACATTTTCTTTAAAAATTTGTATATATCTTTATGCGTTTCTAAAAAGAAAAGGGACTTACAAATTATATTTATATGCCATTAAACATTTTCGACGATGCAATATATTTTTCTGATTAGCGACATCATAATGCATTTATATTTTATATCTGTGAAAATATAGATTTCAGTGCTTAGAGCTTCTATGTCCCGTTGAACAACAAAAACTTGTGATATCCCCCAAGAAACACTTACGTGTAAAAAACTACGCCAAGTACAGGAGTGCTGTGTATTCCTCTAATAAAAAGGATTGATATCAGATTATTGAGGCCAAGTACATAAGTCACTACATGTTTGCCTATTATATGATCTAGCACTGGCCCATCTTCTCATTCCTCTCCCTTTTCCTTTGCTTTGCTTTACTTCAGACGAGCAACGTTCCCTTCGAGTCTTTGCCGTCCTTCAGCTATCCCTCTGGCAACCGACGCATCTCAATGCCATTCCCAATAACGAGAGACCCACGCCAGTAGAACTGATCCCCCAAAAAAACACTTACTTGTAAAAAACTACGCCAAGTACAGGAGTGCTGTGTATTCCTCTAATAAAAAGGATTGATATCAGATTATTGAAGCCAAGTACATAAGTCACTACATGTTTGCCTATCGTATGATCTAGCACTGGCCCATAATTTTAATAGTATTTCCAAATTTCCTATAACGTTTACACTACTCTTTTACATTACTACTACTTCCCGTAGTTGATTATGATTTATTGGTCATTTAATAATTAATAAAACTTTAGGTGATTCCTTATCAAATACTACTTGGCGGGTTCGTGCATTTCTTGACATAAATCTGCGTTCATTATGCCAGTCATCAAACTCAAAACCAATGTCAACTTTCTATATACAGCT